CCTCCTCCCCTATTTGACTTTGAACCCCCAAACCTCCCCTCATTTACTGACTTTAAACCCCTAAACCTACCCCCCATTCATTTACTTTTAAACCTCCAATGCATTCACTTTAAACCCCAAAACCTCACCCTATTTATTGAGTTTAAGCCCCCAAACCCCCCCCATTTATTGAACTTAAACCCCCAACCCTCCCCCCTGCCATTCATTGGCTTTAAACCCCCAAACCTGCCCCCGTTCATTGACTTTAACCCCCCCAAACCTTATTTACAACACCCCCAACACCAAACAGGTGACCAAACACCAAACTGGCCCCCCAAAAAATAACCACAAACACCACTTTGTTTAAAAAAAACCCAACTTCCTGCAATTGGCATGTGCCACCAGTCAGAGGGGATTGGGGTAGCGGCGCTGGGAAAGCAGCCTGGGTTGGGTGGGTCGGGCAGTGGCAGCAAGCTGGGAAACACAGAGAGAGATAGATGTGATGTAAGGGTGAGTTGTCCCCAAAATGTGGATTTGTTGTCATCAGGATGTAGCCACAAGGATCCTCCCTCTATTGCTCTCATCCATCACACCTTCCCATCACTGTCCTCCCCCAGTTTGATTTCTTATAAACAACAAACCCTTTTACTCAGGGCTGGTATCCCCTAATTCCCCCTCAGCAGATGCAATCTGGCATCCCCCCAAAAGCCAGGAGACACCCCCTCCCCAATCCCAGCCCCATCCAGCACCACCACCAGGAGGATGCTCTCACCTGCGAGACCTGGGCAGGGTTGAAGAGGGGGATTGATGCCCGTGGTGGGAGAGGCCCAGGGAAGCGAGTCTGGAAGGGCCAAAGAGAGAAATTTAACAGCCACCCCCCAGTTTCAGAGCAATCCTGAGCAGAGTGGTGTCCTGGACACCCCCTGCACACACTCAGATACACCTCTCTCCTCTCCTCACCTGCTGTCCTGCTGTCTGCCCTCCAACCTTGTCCCACGAGCTCCTCACCTCCATGGGCACTGGGCTAACAGCAAAGGTATTTTCACCCTGCATTCCTCCTGAGGCAAGCAAGCAAAACAAAAAAAACTTAAACTTAAGAGGAACAGCTTCTACAAGGCAGATGAGGAGAGGGGTAAGGGGATCCATATGGTATTTACCAGGATTTCTGGAGAGAGGCTGAGCCAAGGGGCTTATCCCAGCTGCAAGAGGGGCATTGGGTGGGGATGGTGACGTCCTCTCCTGAAAGTACATCCACCCATTTAGAGCAGAAGCTCCTTGTGTGGTGAAAAGACCCCTGAGTCAGACACCACACCACACTTTCGGGGTACTGCTCTGCCCCCATCCTGATGGAGAGGTACCCCAGGAGCTGCAGGAAACCTGGCTAAGGGTGGGGGCAACAGGGTCAGGGCAAGCAACACTGCCACCAAACTCAACCACCTGAGAGCTTGGAATTAGACCACACCAAGCCTGGGTACAGCATGAAGGGTCACCAAGCTCCATAGATCTTTGCTCTTCATCTCCTACTAGTTGTAGATGAACATCCCAAAAATTCCTGTTCAGGGACTACAGATCATTCTCAACGAGGAGCAAACTGCCAGGGGGAGGATCTCACTCCAAGCCCCCCATCAGGGATGTGACACCCTGAGGATTCAGGCAGGACTGGGCTAACCACACATGGCTGCTTCCCCCTCACTGCTGCACTTCCAATTGAAGAGGCTTTTCCTTCCCTTCAGCTCCTGAAACCTGCCCGAGCAGTGCCGCTCGCAGCTGCTGCGTTCCACTCCACTGGAGGGCAAGCAATCCCTGCGGAGTTTGCCAAGGGCTCAGAGGACCTCCTGGATCAAAGAGTTTTTATAAATTTACAGTTATTGTTAATCAAGGAGTCACTTCCAGGCTAAAAGGGCTCCCAGTCCTGCTGTGTCTCCACAAAGAGACATGGCCATGAAGAGCTGTGCAGTGGCACAGTCCCTGCATAAGGATGGAAGGAGAAGCAGTGGGTGCTGGGGCAATGTGTCACCCATCCTTGCAGCTGCACTCAGGGTGTCACAAGGGACAGGGCAGCATTTTGTCCCCTACCTGCAGTCCAGATGTGGGGGAGTCTGAGGTTGCCTCAGTTGTGGCTTTGGAAGAAGCTTCTTTGGTGGGCTTTGACCGAAACCAGCCAAACCACCTGAATCCAGAGCTCTGGGAAACAAAAGTTGTCACAAAGAAATGCAGTGGAAAGGGATAAGAAGGGGAGGATGCCATGGCCATCCAGACACCTGCTGGGAGTGGGCACCACTTTGCCAGGGGCAGGGCAGGCAAGCTCAGAGCATGAGGTTCACATTGGCTCTGGGCACCACTTTGCCAGGGGCAGGGCAGGCATCAGGGGCAGGCAAGCTCAGAGCACGAGGTTCACATTGGCTCTGGCATGCTCACCTTGTCCTCATTTGGCTTCTTTGCCTCCTCAGCAGTGTCCTCAGCCTCGCTCTCCGAGGAAGGCTGGCTGTCATCCAAGGAGACAGTGGAGGTCTCCGAGTCAGTCCGAACCCTTGTCTTTAACTCCTCCTGGTACCAGAGACTGAAGCTGCCATGTGCTATTCCCATGCACCAAGCACGATCAGAGTGCCCTCAAGACTCCTCCATGCCAGGATTAGTGGAGAACATCCCTAGGGACCCACACATTCCTTACACAGCAGGTGGGGAGCAGCAGCATCCACAGTGGGGTACAGCCAGACTCTCCACTGGTGGGAGGCTGGAGAGAGCTCCCTTACCCTGTCAGGTCCCCCAAGGGGACAGCTGGCACCATACTGAGGGGCTTTTATACAAGTTCAGAGCATGGACAGATGATTCAGACAGCTGGCACCATACTGAGGGGCTTTTGTACAAGTTCAGAGCATGGACAGATGATCCATCAAGTCCCAAATCCCCCCAGGACTCCCAATGGGATAGTGTCCCTGGTCCTTCTGACTCACCTGCTCTGCTGGGAGGTCTGGCAGCACCTTCCCGAGGGACAGTGGGGTACCCCAGGGCTCCTCAGGTTCTGCTGTGGAACAGAGCAAAGGGCACAGTCAGGGCCTCACCTGAGGAGCTCCTGATGTAGCCATCAGAGTTATTTCCAGTACCTCTATCATCTCACCCCAGAGCACAGTCACCCATATGGTGGTCAAGTTGTCCCCACCAAGAGATGCAAAACACCATTCTGGTCCCTGCCCGTGCCAGCACCAGGGAGTAAGTTGGAAGGTTGAACTGGTGCATCTCAAAGGCAGCTGCTAAGGAAAAAAGCCTTCCCTGTGAGGATAGTAAGGCACTGGGCACAGATGGCCCAGAGAAGCTGTGGCTGCCCTATCCCTGGAAGTGTTCCAAGCCAGGTTGGATGGACTTTGGAGCAACCTGGTCTAGTACCTGCCCAGGGCAGGAAGCTTTGAATGAGATGAGCTGTAAGATCACTTCCAACCCAAACCATTCTGGGATTCTATTAGTTTTGTAGAGAAACAAGGCTGCAACACTTACCTGCTAGTGGCATCACCTGTGCAGGGGACTCAGCAAATTCCCCCCCTGGAGGGGCAGCTGTCCCTTGGCTGAGCACAGGGGGCTGCAGCTCCTGCCCAACGCCGAGCAGTGGTGATGCTGTGGCCTGAGCAGGTGCTGGGGACCAGACAGACACATTCTCCTGGGAGATGGGTCCCTGTGGTGGCACAGGCTGGGACCACTGGTCATACTGGTAGCCTGCACTCTGGGAAAGCTCATTGCCAGACTCACCATCTGCAAAAAATACACAACTCAGGAGTGTACCATTTTTATAATGCTTATAATCCCATCAGGCTGTTACACAGAATTTTCTCCCTTTCCATTACACATCAGCATGAGATCGGGGAATGAGGAGAGACCCCAAGGGACCAGGGAGGGAGGAGGTAGGACTCAGCACAGCAGCAAGTACCTTTCAGAGGCTTCAAGGAAGGTGGGCTGGGAAAGATAGGGGGGGAAAACCCTCCTGGGAATGTGCCTGAGGTTGGAAAAAGGACTCAGTATGGGAAAGCTGTGGAAGCAATGAGCCCACAAGCAGCATGCACCAGCAGTTCAAAGGAGCCTGAGGCCTCCAGCCTTTTCCTCCTCTCCTTCTGCACACCATGAGCAGGAAAGAAAATTCACCAGGAAGCTTTATTGCTGCTCCACAGCAGCACCCATGGATGAGTTTCTTGCTTTAGGCAGATCTATTCAGGGTTGGAGTTTTGTTTGAAAGGCAGGTTGAGCAAGCAGGGTTTGTTTTATTTAACACACACATTGGTCCCAGGTGTGCGTCCTGCTTATTCCAGCTTGGCAGCCTCCTGCCAGAAACATGCTGGGCACTGAGAACTTTTTCTCCCATCACTGTAAGACATGTCAGGCAGGACCCAGATCCCATAGGGAAAGTCTATGGCACCTCTTGATTGCACTGCTACCAAATCTTTGCTTTGCTGCCAGCATCGCCTCCTGCCTACTCAGGGTTGGCTTCACACTCATGAGCTGCTCCCACAGGGCCTGGAGATGCTCAAGATCCACAGGGAGGAGGATGGATGCTCAACTTCATGCTGCCTGGCAAGCTCAGCTGGAAAAAGTCAGGGAGCCCAGGCTGTAAGGATGGAGAGGGAGGTTGCTGTGACCACGTGGATCCCAGCTTGGCATTTGATCTGGGCTTTGTCTTTCCAAGATGGATGAATTCAGCACCAAGCCAGCTTTCTCTGCATGCAGGTCCCTCAGGTGGTGGCTCTGGATGGCCTTCACAGCAAAGAAAAGGGCCAAGCATCGGGAAAGTTTGCTGTGGAGACCACACTGAGCAGACCTGGCTGCTTGGAGAAGCCAAGCCAATGGGATCATCATACCTGCAACTTCTTTCCAGGGAAGGAAGATCACAGCCTCAGCCCTGATAGCAGCAGAAGGCAATTAGGATTGATGATCCTTTTTACTGCCTGGGAGAGCTCTTTGAAAGGGAATTTGGCAGCAGCAGGGAAAGCTGATAGGAAGAAACGGCTTGAAGGAATGTGTCGCGTTTCATCCTGTCTGCACCAGCCTCTATTCTCCACCCTTCAGTGCCAGCATTCCCAGCAGAAAGTTAGACCCAAGCAGCAGTAAGGAGCAGCAGGCTGTACCAGGGCATCCTGCTGATGGAGGGGGATGTGAAGCAATGCTAGTGGGCCACCAGCTCTTGACTTCTCCTCAATGAAACACCCCAATGGATGCACTGCTCAGCTGGGAAAGGAAAGCTCTTTAGCCCTTCCCTTGACACCAGGGGAGGGTTGTGTCCCTCATCTTGGTGTCTCCGAGTGGACTATAGTGCTGGAGGGGATTCTTGGGGTCACCAAGAGGCAAAGCATAGAGATCAAAGCAGCAGCAGGGAAGGGGAAACACTGGGGGTTCACCAACAGGCATCCTGCAGCCCAAGCTCCTTCCTGAATCCTTTGCTCTCTAAGTGTGAAATCCCCTTAGTTCAGCTCCAGTTTGCACCCTCAGAGGGCTGCCTGGGAATGGAGCTGTCGCTCCCAAAGCTCAGCCAGGAGGCACATGCCTCACGTCCAGCACCCACCCCCAGCTCCTCCTCTCCTCCCACAGCACCCACAGGGACCCTTGAAGCTGTGGTAATTAGGCCAAATTACTCAGACTTTGTAAAACGACATGAGCATCCACCCCTCCCTTTGCAGCCCATGCTGGAGGAATGCATCGAGACAGGAGCAGAATATTGAGCTCCAGGGGGATGGTAAGGAGCAAGGTGTAGCTACTGGAAAATGCTGCAGGAAGCAGGGATTGAGCTCCAGGGGGATGGTAAGGAGAAGCAAGGTGTAGCTACTGGAAAATGCTCCAGGAAGCAGCGAGCTGCCTGCCAAACCCTGGCAGCACTATTCCACATGCAGAGAAGCCCACTGTGGTGACCACAACCTACTGCTTCATTTTCTTTACCTGCCATCAATGGATCAGGACAGGAGAGCCCTGGCTGAGCGAGTGTCACCTCCAGAGGGAGATGATCTTCCACCTGCAAGGACTGAAGGGGAAAACATGATAAAACAGATAGCAAAAAGGATGGCACAGGGCAAAGGCTAAGGAAACCACAAATTCAGTGTAAAGGAAAGCACAGTGCATGTGGGTCTGGGGCTTGCAACCCACCCTGGGCAGCAGTTGAGACCCACACTAGCATGGACACAGCTCTTTCCCAGCAAGTGAAGGGGGCTGCAGGGCTGCTGAGAGCAGGCAGGAGGGGAAATGGGATGGAAAAGGTCCCACATCTCTGAGCTCACAAGCTAAGGGGGAAGACAGCTGGGCAATAACAGTCCTTGAACCTCCGTCCCCATTCTCTTGGACTGAGGGCAGAGGAGGAGGATGCTCCTGCAGACAAAGCATGACACAGACCAGCTGCCCCACAGCACTGCTTACCTCCCACTCCTGGCAGCAGGCTCGGAGCTGCTCCAGCCAGTCAGGCTCCAGGGTCTCATCCTGCTCTGGCATCTCCAGGAGCAGAGGGTCAGAGAGCTTCAGCCGCTCAGCTAGCTGTGGGGCCAGGAGGATAGTGAGGATCATCATACATTTCAGATCTACAGGGACCTGATGCACATGGCTGGGCATGTGGGCTCAGGGGAAAATAGCATCACTTCTTCATAACACGGGGGTAAAAGTAACACCAGCCTCTTGTGCAGGATTTACTCCCTCTGCCACCCCGTGGTGCCCTGCAGAGAGTCTCAGCAGGGTTGGCTCAGCACCTCCACAGGGATGCCAAAAGACCAGTGTCAAAGATGCTCCCCACATCAAAGAGGCAGGTAACTATCACCATCCTTTCCTTTGAGGAAAATGAATACCTTTAATCCCACCTAACAGCCAGCCTGGGACACAGGCAGGTTTGCAGGATACCCCACCAGGAGCCCTGGAAAAAGCCCAGCTCCCAGGGCTGTGCATCAACCCCTCACCTATCCTACAAGGATGGATGGGAGCTGGTGTTTTTCTGATTTACACTTACAAATCTCTGAGAAGATTTCACAGCCTTCCAGGCCTGTCCTGATGCTTAACATCCTTACAGCTAAAGAGCTTTTGCTTAATATCTAAGTGAAATCTTCTCTGCTGCAAATTAAGCCTCTCTATCCCTGCTCCCATGGAAGCTGCAGGGACAGCCAGGCACTGTCCTCAAAGAGCAGCCTCCTGCATGCCAGAGGGCTGTTATCACATCCCCTGTGCCCCTTTCTCCTCCAGCATATCTTGCCTAGAACAAATAACCCCGAGGTCTTCTTCAGAGGTCATTTTCCCCTCCATCTCTTATCACCCCAGCTCTCCTCTACTGCACTCACTCCAATTTGGTCCTGTCTCTGAGTGCAGCATCCCAAACAGTGCACAGTGCTCCAGCCAAGACCCCCGAGACCCCAGCATGGGAGGATTATCACCTCCTTGTCTCACACATGCCACTCTTGCTCTCACAGCCCAGAACGATGTTATAACATTGGCTTTTTTTTCCTTTCCTTTTGTAACAGCATCTTGTTATGCTGCTGCTCAAGATTTTTTTTTCCATGCTCCACTATCTCCCCCAGGTCCCTCTCTGCAGTATTGCTGCTGAGTGTTTAATTCCTTCTACAAAAGAGGGGTCTGTGCTGGCCTAGCTGCACAGTGACATGGGGCTCCACTACCATCAACAGGGAGAGGATCTTCTGGAGCAACCAGAATTCCAGGATGAGATGGAGGGTGCCCTGCAGAGCTAAATCCCAGACTGCAGAAATTGCTTAGACAAGACTCCAGTTTTCATACAGCTGGATGAGGAGAGATGACACAAAGCACTGCTCTCCATCCACATCTTTACTGAATTGTCTCTTGCTGGTATCAACTTACCAGCAACCTGGTCTAGTGGGAGATGTCCTTGCCCATGGCAGAAGGATTGGAACTAGATGATCCCTAAGGTCCCTTCCAACCCAAACCATTCTATGATTCTTGGGGATTTATCAAATTTTTCCCCATGTTCTTAATGCTCATTTATCTTCTATGCTTTGCTATGAGGCTGCCACTAAAAAAACATCCAGGGGTGACTTCGCAGTTCAGCCTACCCTCCTCCATAGCCACACAGGTCTGAGCTATGCCTCCCACACCAGTCCCCACTGGACATTTCTCTCTGTTCCTGAACTTTTTTAAAACCTACTCCAAACCAGCACAAGACACTTCACAATTCCAGGAGTTTACAGCAAGACATGAGCTACACAGCACTACCTACATCCCCACTGTCCCATCCCTTTACAAACACACCTATGTTCATCCTAAATCAATGGCAGGAAAAAGGAAATTATAAGCATGATTACTCCTAAACGGGGAGAACGTTTAATCCAAAAGCTAATGTGCACTTTGATCCAATATTAATGAACCAGCACCTGGTTGTATATCGTCCTCAGCTTCAAAAGAGGGGAAGTCTTAATCAAACACTAATGTGTATCATAATTTGTAACACAGTCTAAAACATCAAAGACAAGAGTGTCTACGAATGCACTAGTTTTTCAGATGAAAGTGTTTTCTCCCAGGAGAAGCATTATCCCCAGCAGAACGGCACATCTGAGAGGCTGTTAGACAGTAAATACGCTTCATCGATGTGGGGGGAGCTGTGCCAGCTAAGTTTTGGGTGATTTCTGCAGCACCCACTTCAGACAGCCACCCTTGCTACCCTAGTCTCACAGCACCACACCTTTTGCCCCTTTCATAGAATCACTGCATGATTTCCTGCTCTGCTCTGTGCTGGTGTGGCCTCATCTTCAATACTGTGTGCACTTTTGGGCATCACAATGTGAGGAAGATATTAAGCTATTAGGGGAGGCAATGAAGATGGTGAAGGGACTTGAGGGGAAACTATATGAGGAGCAAATGTGGGCACTTGGTCTGTTCAGCCTGGAGGAGACCTCATGGGTGTTATCAGCTTCCTCACAAGGGGCAGTACAGGGGCAGCACTGACCTCTTCCCCCTGGCACCAGTGACAGGACCCAAGGAAGTGGCCTGAAGTTGTGTCAGGGGAGGTGTAGGTTGGATATTAGAAAAAGGCTCTTCCCCCAGGGGGTGTTTGGGCACTGGAACAGCTCCCCAGGACAGTGGTCACAGCCCCAAGCCTGACAGACCTCAAGAAGTGTTTGGACAATGCTCTCAGGCACATGGTGTGATTCTCAGGGATGTCCTGTGCAGAGCCAAAAGTGGGATTCAGTGATTTTCATGGGTTCCTTCCAACTCAAATATTCTGTGATTTGGGTTGGAAGGAACCTTTTAAAGCTCATCTCATTCCAACCCCCTGCCATGGGCAGGGACACCTTTCACTAGACCAGGTTGCTCAATGTCCCATCCACTCTGGCCTTGAAGGATGGAGAAAGGCTCCAAGCAGCTTCAGCACTGCCCTGGTGATGTGCATGGAGAGGGCAGACCTGCACTCCTGAGAGCCCAAGCTTCCCAGGAGACCCAGGACACTTTGCTGCACTTTTCCTTGCCCTAGCACCTTGTTCATGAAGTGGAGGGGCTGCACTTGGTGCTACAAGCTGGGACATTCCCCTATTCACTGTCACCCCAAAAATGCATCCAGCAGGTAAATGACATCATGAATCATGTGCTGGAGGGCAAATGTGAAGTACTTACACTTCAGCTTCTTAAGTCTGTGCCATACAGACATTCAGAAAGCCCCTCCAGAATTAAAAACATCCTTTGCTTCCAAATAACTCTGCTCCTACTTGGCAGTCAACTTAATTCCTTTGTTTTCTACCCTAAATTTGTGGGGATTAGAGACCCCATGGGGGTCTTGGCTTTGCTGTACTCAGCACACACCACAAAGCAAATCCTGGGGGACTGCTCAGATTTCCCAAGCACTCCCAGCCATGGGAAATGCCAGGGATGCTTCCCACCACACTGGGTCCTGAGTGGGTATGACACCCTGACGAGGATGCAGGAGGTACCAGACTCACCTTCATCACTTGCTGGGCCAGGACAGGGTGCCTGGCTGGGTCCTGGCGCAGGAGCACAGTGGCAATCTGTTCACAGTATTGAAGGGCCTGGGCTGGGAGCCCATGGTCAGCCAAGCGAGAGGCATAGAGCAACTTGTACACCTTGGGAGAGGGAAGCAGAGCAGCCATAGGTGAACAAGGACATGGACACACCTGTGAGTGCCCACTGCCATGGCACATCATCCCAGGGTGACTTGGAGCATCCTGGATGTCTCAACACCCAGAGGTCCCCTGCAACTTGGGGGCACTCCCACCCATCCCCATGGGTGCATCCAGCCTTGCTTCCTGAACCAGGCAGGCAGTGGGGACAGCACAGCAGCTCCATAGAATCACAGAACAGTTTGGATTGGAAGAGACATTAAAGATCATCCAGTTTCAGCCTCAAAGCTCATCCAGGTTGCTCAAAGTCTCATCTAACCTGGCCTTGAACACTTCCAGGGATGTATCCACCCAAGGCATGCAGCATTCAAGGCAGCAATAGCCAGGTACTGATTTGCAATAGGAAAAGCCTTTACCACGAGAGCAGGAGAACAACCAGACATGAGTGACCACTGATAGAACACACTATGCACCCCAAAATCTGCCCTGGAGGAGCCTCTCAGCTGGGACAGCCTCCCCAGTACTCCCAAAGCCCAGTGAGGGGACAAGCCTTAGGAGCAGCCTGAATCCTTGGCTTTGGGTGGATGTTTTGGGGCAGGTCTGAGCAGCTGCACCAGATGTGCTTGAGCATTTCTGCTACCTGGAAGGGAAGCAGGAAGGATTCAGGCTGTCGTAGCTGCTGGCAGTACTCAAAGATTTCCATCCTCTGGATGACTTCTGTCCTGGCGAACTGGGCAAATGCCTGGCTGCAGAGGAGAGGGGTAGGGTCAGCAAGCAGGAGCAGAACTCCCTCCTCAAAGAGACAACTCACATTAAGAGCAGTAAAACCCACAAAGAGGGATTGCTTTTGCATAAAAGTGAGATTCCAGGTATGGGGAAAAGCTGGGACAGGTGACTCCCAGGCTCACTCACCGGTGGCTGCTGCCCAGCAGGGCCATGCGATCTGTCTTCACCCCAAAGTAACCAAAAGGGATATCTGCCATCAGGTAGCAGAAATGAGCTGCTTCCACTGCTCCCTTGCTGGCTGGACAGGAAGAAAAAGATAAACAGTTAGCCCCGAGACATCACCACATAGTCAGCCTTACTTTGGAAGCACCTGAGTTCATATGGAAACCCAAATCCAACCACCCCACTTTCCTTCCTTGCCCATGCGGACCCTCATCTCTCTCTTCTCCCTGTTTTCAGTTCATTTTCCCAGACTGCTGCTTGTTGTATCTAGAAGGTTTCAGTTCAGTGGTAGAACTAGGGGAGCCTGAGCAGGGGTACAGGTGAGCACACTCCATCCTGGCACCACAAATAGCCATGCCAGTGTGGACATGTATGGTGACACTCCAGGTGCCCACCCCCATTCCAGTTGCTCCTAGTGGTCTTGGCTCACCCAAAGTGTCTCCCATGGTGACAATGGCTCGGTGGTTCAGCTCCATGTCTCCAACCTTGTTGGATAACATCACAGCCAGGTGGGGCCTCCAGTCCCCCCATGTGGCATCCCCACAGCACTGGAGGGACACAAGAGGAGAGGAAAGGTGAGCAGAGATGGTCACCACAAGGTGGGTGTCACAGGTGACAGCACAGGGGGGAACACATGCCAGGGTCAGCCTCTTGCTCACAGACCAGTGCTGCCTGAGGAATCCTTCCTGACATGAGCTGGAAGAGTGTCTGCAGGGGGTCATTGGTGGCCAGTGTGCTGGTGAACCTGCAAGGAGACAGTAGAGATAGGGCTGCTGTGCCAGGACTCCAAACCCTCATTCGCTTCCAAGGGCATGTCCCAAATGCCCCAGGAAGACAGTGTTCTGAGGGGTTTCCCAGAGAATCCTTGAATGGTGTGGGTTGGAAGGGACCTTGAAGATCCTCTAGTTCCAACCCCCCTGCAATGGGCAGGGACACCTTCCATTAGACCAGGTTGCTCCAAGCCCTACCCAACCTAGCCTTGAACACTTCCAGGGTTGGGGCAGCCACGGCTTCTCTGAACAGCCTGTGCCAGTGCCTCAGCACCCTCACAGGGAACAGTTTCTTCCTAGTGTCTAATCTAAATCTACCCTCCTTCAGCTTAAGCCATTTCCCCTTGTTTACATGCCCTTGCAAAAAGAAGGCAGAGAGGATCATCAGCCCACGAGGCTGATGATCTGCATTACCTCCAGAGCAGGCAGGTCTCCAGGACTCCACTGGATAAAACGCCCTTAAAAAGGATTTGAGTTCCACGAGACAGAAATTTCTGCTTAACTCTCCCTGAAGGGATCAACCCAATCCAGACTAAGTAGGTTAATTCTACCAGAAAATGTTCATACAAGTGGGATGAACAGCTGAGACCAGGCTGGATCACAGCGAAAGTGGCTCAGCTTCCCTGCCCCATTGCTGCCTTTGCTAGAGCAGCAAAGTAGAGAAGCCAAAGACTCAGAACCCACCCCACATCTCTAGGGAACAGTTTACTTCTGTTTTCCAGCCCTCAACTTGGTTTCTCCTGTCCATCAGGAAGCCTGAAGGATTCAGGCACATCTGGATGGATGTCCCCTCTCCCTTTGTCCCCTTCTGAAAGGCTTCAGCTGGAATCAATGCTTTTTCTCCAGTGCACCAGGGCTGAGGGCACCTGAAGGGATAACAGGCTTGGCAAAGCCAGCCATGGAGCATCATACCTTGCTTTGGCTTCTCCAACTTACCCAGTGAGCACCCAGCTGTAGGTCCGAGGGTCCATCTTGCTGGAGAGGAACAGTGCATGGCCCCACAGCTGGTTTCTCATGGCCCAGACCAGAGCATCCTGCAGCCAAGGTGGAGAAGAAAAAGAATTTGCACTAACTCTGCTTCCCTGCCTTCCTCCACTGCCAGAGGACCCCTCTGCCCCCTCAGCTCAGAGAAGAGCCAATAACTGCTCTGGCTTTATCTAATACCTTTCGTAAAGCTCTCCCATATTCACAAAGGTCCTTTTATGTTTCTGCCTTGCATGATGTCAAGAACTGTGACCTTCATAGCAATATTGTCACTCCTGGATTTCCAGGTCTGTGCTGTCTGTTAGCTCTCAATGCCACCACGATGGGACCTCAACCTGGGCAACCACCTCTCTCTCCCTGTGCCTCTGGTATCCCTTGAGATCACATAGCTGCAAGTGGGGTTGGATCTAGATAACCTTTAAGGTAACTTTCAACCCTAACTGTTTCAGGATTCTGTGAAACTAAACCTGCAGTGCTGCTGAAAGCCTTTGCATCTCATCTTCACTTGGGGCCCCATCCCAGTTCCCAGTGGTGGGAATCACTGCCAGAAACTCTGTTGTACAAATAAAACTGGAAGGGTTGATCCCACAATGACAAATCACCTCTTGGCCACCCTCCCCTTAAAAACAAAGGGGCCAAGAAAATCCCCTCAGCACCATGTCCTGAATCCCACTCACCACTTACTTTCTTCCTGCCATAGTAGAGGAGCTTGGTGAACTTCTCCACTATCTGTGCCTGAGTCTCCACAACAGGAGGGACCTCCCCGGTGATGAGGTCCAGGGTCCCTGGCTGTCGCGACACCAACTCGTCGTCCGTCAGGCCTATCAGGTTGGCTGCAGGGTCTTGCCTCTTGTACTTGTCCTCATGTCTGCAGTCTTGCATCAGCAGCTCAGCTGTGTCTGAGCCCACCATGGACTGGGAAAGGGAAGGGGAGGAATGAGGCACACAGGCTGTCCCAGTCTGACACCCTCACACTTGTAACCTCACACCAGCAAATCTCCCCAACAAGACCAGCCTTGGCCACCAGCACACAGTTTTGGAGGGCAAAGGATTCAGCACAACTAGGAAGACCTTCACAGCACTAGCTCTGAAGACCTTATTCACCTGCTTCCAACAAGCAGCCACAGATGAGATTGGGTGGATTTCAGTGGATTAAGGGAATAACTTCCTTTTAAGCCTATAAATGCTGGCTCCTTAATGAAGGTGGCACCACTCCCTTTCACTGGGCTGTTGGCAGTTCCCAAAGATGAAAAGCAATCACAGAGAAGGGTTTGCTCCAAATATCCAGACAGCATTGAACTGATTGATACTGCTATGGGAATGGGTTTCTTTTAAGGTAGACCCCCTGAAAATAGCAACTGGATCAAGAAGCACCTAAGAGACATACAAACTTTCTCATTTCTGAGATCAAAAGGGTCATCCCCTTCCAGGGGATACCTACCCCATTCTGCCGGCAGAGGAGGACCAGGAGTTTCCAGAGAAGAGAAGAATCTCTGCCCCTCTGTGTTGAGAGATCACAGCCCGTGGCTATCTTCTGCTGGCAAAATGTCATCACATCCACCTTGTGCAGATCTTCCCTACAGCAGCAGAGAAAGACATCAAAGAAACCCAAGGCAAAGCAACCTGGGACATTATTCAGGCTCAGTGCATCCCCAGGATCACCAACAGGGATGCCCCAGTGCCAATGACCACATACCACATTTAAGCTCAAAAATGCTTAACTTTTGTCATTGTCATGACTCTTGGCAGATTTCTGTTTCAGGGATGCAGAGTACATTTCAAACCCTCTCTCTGCCCTCCTGATAATATTTCCACGTGTCCATCTGCAAAGAACCTCAGATTTGCTTCGCTTTGCTGTGCTGCTGTTACAGCTGTGGCTGTCCAAGGCTGCAGGAGCAGGCACAATCTGAATTTAAGTGGCATAGCAGAGGGAGAAAGACACACTTGTGCCCACAGAAACCCTTTGGGACTGAAACAGATGCAGAAACCTTTCAGCTATGTGCAAGTCAGGCAGAACTGCTGTCGTACAATAAAATAACCAGACAGCTGGAAAGAAAGGATGGCTGAGACACAGGATCAGCCTGGGATGAGGAACTGTGGATGCTGATCCTGACCCAATCACACCATCATATGGAGATTCCTAACATTCCCTTTGGCACAAGTGTAACCCCCAGGTCTTCTACACAGGTTCTGGGCATATGTAGCTCACTAAATGGTTTTTCCTTTTCTCTCCCCACTTTGGTAATGAGTGGCCAGAGGACATCCTGGTGTAACTGATACAATACAAACCCAACCTGATGCAATACATGATTCACCCCCAGGCTCATGCTGGCTGAAGCTGCATGCTCCAGTCTGACCCTGACATGCTCAGCAGTCTCAGGGGACAAAAACCTTAGGAAAAGCTTAACCACAGGTTGACCCAGGGCTTTAGACATCCAAAGAGATGCCAAAAACTCATTTATCAGGGACATGAGTACCAAACAAGGTCAGACATACAAACCACACTAAACCCACACCCTATGAATATTCAAAATAAACCAACTCCTACAATTCAAACCAACCCACACCACATCCAAGGGGCTGAACATCCAAGCTGAACCTAGATGTGACCTCAGCAGTTATCTCAAAACCATGGGAGCCCTGGAGCCTGCCTTGAGCTCATGTCTCCTCCAAAAGGAGACAGCCAGGAGGACGCAGCTCCTGGACCTGCTGGTGCAGCATACCTGGCCAGGGGCCCTGGGAAGGCTTCTAGCTCCTCCAGCTCTTTTGTGCCATGAAGGATTGCCTAAAAAACAAAAGCAAATTCAGCAGCTGTACTCCAGCAATCAGGCTCTCCCAGCTGGGCTAGCTGAAAGCCAGTGACTTGACCAAGGATGAACAGCATTAGTGAACCCATTCTCTGCTGCCTTAAGATAACCCCAGAGCACAGACCCTGAAGCATCAAATGGACCCCAATGCTAAGGTCCAGAAAAGAAATGCCTGCTGAGATACCACCTGCTTTCTTTGGGAGGCAAAACAGGAGACTGGAACACTGTGGTAGACTCAGGGGATGGATATGGCCTCTCTATTGGAGCACCTCAGAAAGAGCAGTGGAGTTATCTTTCAGAGAGGTACAGAGCATATCTGTCTCCATCAGAAGGGACAGATGCCAAGAGTTAGAGAGCTGAAGACTGAAAGTCATGCCCAGGCACAGACTGGCACAATGCAGACTCAGGAGTATGTGGGATGGAGAGAAGATGGGAGCAGGGGACAGGAAGGCTGCTGAGACGAATGGTGTCTCCAACCCTCAGGGCAAGAGGAGCCACTCCAGGAAGAGGACTGGGGGCATTTGGGGGTGTAGGCTGTCATACCTCCAGGCTGTGCAGCTCAACATGGGCTAGCTGTCCCTCAGCAGGGTGGTGGGGATGTGCCAGCACCAACTGGCCTCCAGCTCCGAAGCACACTGCCGTGTGTGGCTGTAGGAACTTGAGGGGGACCACCGGGGTCGGCGTGGGCAGCACAGGCACCCCTGCAATGCCACACAGGCCACTGAGAGTCCCTCATGCTGATCCCACACCATTTCCACTATGAAGGACATGACCAGGTCCCAGCCTGGACCCCCAACTTAAGGATCCCTTCACTGACCCCACCATGCAACAACTGTCACCAACAGCAGCAGGTGTGTACAACAGCTCCTGCAGCTACCCAGGCAGAGCCCCCAGTCCACACACCCACCCCACAGCCCTCCAGCCATGCCTTGTATCTGCACAGCCTCCTCCAGGAAAGGACCAAGCTGTGAGACAGCTAATCTCCTACCACCAGCCATTTATTCCCTTGCTCCCCCCTTGTCAGAGCACCCCATCACACCCCACCTGTTTGTTCCACATTCCAGGTCCCTGGAAGCATAGGGTCATACTGGTCAGCATCATCACGGATGTACTGGCTGAGCTCGTGGCTGCTGGAGCTGAGCCCTGACTCGTGGTACTGCAGGAGCAGGCTGGGCTGGCCTGAGGGCTGCAAGGAAGGGAGAAAACAATCCTGGCTGAGAAACTAGGGATGCTACTCCCTTCCTGCTCCCAGAGCAGTGGGACAGGCTCTGCTGCTCCAGGAAAGTGCCCAGCCAGAGCAGCACAGCCAGTTCCCACCTGAGCAGCTCACACCCTGCAGCATCTTGGGTTCACCCTGGCACATACCCTGGTCATACCCAACAGCTTTGAAAAATAATTTACATCAGTCACTGGTTGAGTCTGACAGCTTTCCTAGCCCTAACATGAGCTCCTCAACACAGCCAAAGAGATGGGGCTTGGGAACCCAAACCAGCATTGCCCAGGAGCAAAAATCTCCACTGCAGCTTTGATTTGATATTTTATCTCTTCATTTTCTCTTGGCAAAACACAACGATCAGGACAGGACATAAGTGTGATGGAGCAGGACTTAGCTGACAGAGCTGACGCTGACAAGCAGCTGTCAACTACCCAGGAAGGACAGAATCATGGAATCAGAGAACAATTTAGGTTGGAAAAGACCTCTGTGATCACTGAATCCAACCATTAACAGAGCACTGTCATATTCATCACTAAACCATGTCTCCAAGTGCCACATCTGCATGTCCTAAATCCCTCCAGTGTTGGTGACTCCACACTGCCCTGGGCAGTCTGTTCCAATGCTTGTCAACCCTTTTGAGGAAGAAATTTTCCTAATATCCAATCTAAACTTCTCCTGGCACAACTTGAGGCCATTACCTCTCGTCCTGTCACTTGGGAGAAGACAGCAACACCCACCTGCCTACAGCCTCCTTTCAGTGAGGAGTGATAAGGTCCCCCCTGAGCCTCCTTTTCTGCAGGCTGAGCCCCCTCAGCTCCTCCTCAGAGGTTTGTGCTTCAAACCCTTCCCAGATCCACTGCACAGGAGCATCCCACCAAGCCTAGGTTTGTGTCCTGCTCCTGGCTCTGGGGAGCAACAGCCCAGTAGATGGAGAGTTCATAAGCACTAATAACCCACTATAAAAATCCACAGGGACTGTTAGGCACTAAGTACAACAAAGTAAAATGGCCCTTTTCTTAGCTGGAGGGGGAACACATGGGTTGCTCCCCCAATCCCCTTGAGATCCCCAAGCCTCTTGTCCTCTACCCCTGCCCATCTTGAGGTTACCTCTCGGGGCTGACCACCAGCCTCCCCTGAACTGCTGCTGAATTCTCCTCCTGCCCTTTCCCTCCTGGAAGCTGAGATGTAGCTCTCCTCATAGGAGTTGTAGGTCTGATTCCTGCAGATGGGAGCAAAGGGAGACAAATTTTGGAACCAGCCCCAAACCTGCCAATTTTGCAGCAAATGTTTGCACCAGGTTGTCCAGACTCCCCACCCTTACCTGTCCTGCCCTGGGGGGCCTGTGGCCAGGTTGGGGTGGTAGCCCCTGTAGTAGTGCTGCTTCTGGTAACTGGTACTCTTGCCTTGTCTCAAGTCTGAAGAGAGAATCAAGAGTTAGCATTTTCCCCCCAGAGCAACAATGAAGTTGTAAAAGAAGAATCAGGCAGTTGGCCATGCACATCCCATTTGCTTCCAAACTATCCCAATACATTGGAGGTGTGATAAAACCCTGTATACATTTGCCAACACAGTACTGATGTCCTTTCCTCTTTCCTCCTGCCCCTTCTCTCCAGTCCAGAAACAGCAAAAAGGAGGCCCTGGCCACTCTGATCACACAGCACCACTGATATCAGCCTGGAACTGGGAATGATGCAGGTTTACAGCCCTGGAGATCAAGACCAAACATTCCCTTGGGTGCACCTAGCTCCTGCTCACATTTCCTAAATGCAAACTGGGAGCCAGTGTTGCACAAAGAGAGCAATAACACCCAGGAGTATGGGCAGGACAAAGCCCTGGATATCTGCAAGCCCTGGGAGAAGAAACCAGTCCTGGAGAACGCATCACTTCTCCTGCAAGCAAGCTGCCTCCATCCCCAAAGGATTAGCCCATACCTCTGTCATTCTGCCAGGCCACTGGCTGCCACTGGTGGCTTTGGTAGGAGTAGTCATCCCCATAGCTGGTTGCTGGATACTGCCAATGAGGGTCTTCATACCCTTGCCTGAAACACAACAGAAGAATCTGAGGAAGAAAAGGGCACCACTGTGCGTTCTGGACTACATCTAGGGTTAAATTCTTGCCATGGATGGGACCTTAGGTGGAAGAAAGGGTGATGGAAATAAAGCCAGGTCCCCTGCCCAGTGGCAGGGCTGGAAAATGGTCAGGCATCACACCTGAAAGGAGCAACAGGAGGTGTAGATACCTTCCCACCCACACTTATGAGAAAGCTGCACACTGCAGTTTCAGGTAATACCCAATCTCATAGAATCACAGAATGATTTGGACTGGAAAGGACCTTAAATGGTCATTTGATTCCAATTCTCCTGCAGGGACACCTTCCACTACACCAGGTTGCTCCAAGCCCTGTCCAAGCTGTCCTTGAACACTTTCAGGGATGGGGCAGCTAACAGCTGCTCTGGGCAACCTGTGCCAGTGCCTCATCACCTTCACAGGGAAGAATTTCTTCCTAATAGCCAATTTAAGCCCATCCCCTGCCAGTTTGACCCTGCCCTGTCACTCCATGCCCTTGCCCAGAGTCCCTCTCCATCTCTGTTGGACCCCTTCAGGCACTGGGGAGGGGCTCTAAGGTTCCCCCGGAGTCTTCTCTTGTCCAGGCTGAACCCCAATTCTCTCAGCCTTTGAATTTCAGCACAAATGGTGAGGACTCCCCACGATGATCAGCTTTCATCCACATTTAAGGAGAGGTCCCCCAAAAGCATCTTCTCCACCAAACTCTGGAGCTGCTGTGGCCACCACACAGCTCAGCAGGTGTCCCCCCATCCCAAGGCTCCCACCTGGCACTCACACACTTCAACCCTCATTTACACAGCATTTGGTCAACCCTGTGCAACAGCTCCTTCCAGTGTGAGCATCATACAACCTCAGCACAAAACCTCACATCTCCAATCCGTAACTCACCAGTGCAATAACTCAAGCAAATCAACCCAAATTTGCTGGAGCTCTCAAAGCTCTTCCTCAGCACCAAGAGCATCCTCCAGCCCACATTTTATCCGTTCACCCACCGCTGCTTCAGCAGCTGAGCTTGCAGACTGCCTCCTGCTCCTATATTACCCTTTGTATTTTTATTGTTCACCTTGCACTTAGGAAAAAAGAACTGCATTTAATCAAATCTGCAAGAAAAATGCACCCCAGGCCTAAGACAGAGTGTGTGAAATGGCAACTACAGAAGTCAGTTTTAAGAGGAAATCATAGAATCATAGAATTTTAGGGGTTGGAATAGACATTAGAGATCATCTAGTGCCAAACCCCTGCCCTGGGCAGGGACACCTCCCACCAGAGCAGGTTGCTCAAGGCTCATCCAACCTGGCTGTGAACACTGCCAGGGTTGGGGCAGTCACAGCCTCCCTGGGCAACCTGGGACAGTGTCTCACCACCCTCACAGGAAAAAACCTTTTCCTAGTGTCTAGCCTAAATTTCCTCTCCTTTAATTTGAACCTGTTACTCCTTGTCCTATCACTGCAGTTTCTAACCAAGAGTCCTGCTCCAGCTTTCCTGGAGCCTCTTCAGATCCTGGAAGGTGCTATAAGGTCTCCACACAATTTTCTCTTTTCCTGGCTGAACAGCCCTAACTCTCTCAGCCTGTCCTTGTAGGGGAGATGCTCCATTCCTCTTAGCAGCTTCATGGCCTGCTCTGGACTTGCTCCAACAGTTCCATGTCCCCGTTATGTTGGGGACACCAGAACTGTGTGCAGCACTCTAGTTGGGTCTCATGAGAGCAGAGGAGGAGAATCACCTCCTTCAACCTGCTGCCCACACTCCTTAAATCAAAGCTGCAACTGCTACACAGCCTTAAATATACAAGTCCTGGGCTGCTTTAAGAGCTGGACATCACCTCATGACAAGCTGTTTTCCCTGTGCAGTCACAAGGGCAGGACCCTCGAGCAGTGAAACGCTCAAAT